TGGTAGGAAAAGCCTTTACTCAAGCTTTTGGAATATGCTATAGATTAGTATGTAGTTGCTTGTTAATACTGTGACATGTTAAAAGTATTTTTAACATGTGCTACTGAATAATTACATAGTAGTTGGTTTTAAGTAGCTGAAAGTACAATACATTATTTTTACTTTCACATCAAATTATTCAGTTATAGTTAAATTTAACATGTGTTTTTATGGTGAAAATTTAAAATGTTTGGTTTATGAAGAGTGGCATTTTTTAAAACAAGAAACAAATTGAGACTAATTGCTTCTATTTTCTATATATTACTTTTGTTATAATTAATAAATTAGTCCTCAGTTTTCTTTTATAATGACAGTTTTTGTATGAATTAGAATTTTTAAAACATGTTCCAGCATCACAAAATATTGCTTATGTATAATTTAACTCTGTGTGATTTTGACATATATAATTTGTATTTAAAGTGAATGCAGTTGTTTGAATTAATGGTACATTTCTGCTGAGAAAATCAGTAATCAAAGGATTAAGTGTTCTTTAATATAATTTACTTTAAAATTAAAGGGTTTGGTGTTATTTCAGATGTTACACAGAATGTATGCTGTCTGTGTGGGTGTGAACTGTGTATAGTAATTTTTATTTGACCTTAATATTTTTTTAAAGTGTCAGGCTTTTTAATTTCACATTCTTTTGCAATATTCATTTTGCTGGCACAGTGTGGCATGTTTTTGTAGTAGTCATGCCTCTTAATGTACACTGAAAAAGTATTGCAGTTTAGTCTCATTTACAACTTGCATTAAAAATGTTGTTGTGTAACATTAAGTTATATTGGGTAAAAAGAGGAAAATATTTTAAGATTTCTCACAGATTTATAATTTTGTAGTGGCTTATTGGCAGTAGCATCATTGGCACTGTTTTCATTTCTCATCTAATTTGGTTATCCCCAAGGATTGATTTTCATTGGTAATAAAATAAGTTCTTGATTTAATTTGTACATTAGGTAGTAATTTTATTGTTGTAATTTACTTTTACAAAACCAAATATTTTTTATGTTAAAGCATTTACAAGTTCTGGGAATATTTATTTATTTTATTATATCTGCTTATAGGTTGGAAACTCTTGTTAGCTGTATTATTATTAAGATACCTGTAATGATGTTGAATCATGTTAATTGAAGGTGTGCCAACTTGTCACTACGTGTGATGTCCATTCAAAAGCTAAATTAAAATGGACAACAAAAACATGCAGAAACTGTTAAGAAAGTGTAAAGTATCTGCTCTGACTTTGATATGCCATTAATACTTTGAACATATAGATATATAATTTAGATTTATATTATTTACTTGACTGTATTAAGTCTACATTGTAATATCTTATTACATTTGGCAAGTTCTTAACCCACTATCTTTGATCAAATTAAATATAGTGGAAATCTATTTATAGAGCTTCATTTTCAGTACATCTTTCTTGTAGCTGTTTTCCCAGGTATTAATGCTCTTGCACAAGAGACTGTAAAAGTTGGCAAACAATGAAAGAAGTCCTTCTTGTCTATCTTCATTCCAGCCTCCAAATGATGAGGGACAAATTGTTAGTTTGGGATATATTCAAAATACAAAATTACCTCCACTTGTGTGTTGTTAGCAGCTGTTATAGAGCTGGGGAATTGTGATTTGTTACTGTGAGATGACCTGCTCTCACAATCATACTGGCAGTCTGTTGGTTTACTTCTGTTGCGTCTGAAGTGAAAATAGTATTAAGTGCATGTATTGTGGGTTAGAGAGTGGGAATTAGGAAATAGGTCATGATCTAGGAAATACAAGTTAGTCCAACACTTATATTTCACATTGTAATGAGTGTGATAAGGCATTTATTCTCTGTCCTACACATATTTTGAAATTATTTAAGAATATTCCCATTTGATTATCTATTTATATAATTATTTATACAATTTATTATTAACTCATGTTATAATTTGCATTGCAATTTCACTGAATGTCTAAATAAATTCTGTGTGTGTTTCAAAATGCTGTCTTCTGGGATGTTGCACCATGTAGTCTGATAGAAGTTTATTAATGCTTTAGAGATGCTAGTTGCTTCCATCATCAGGGCAGTGATGATGGAGGTAGCTAACACCTCTGATGTAGGTAAACTTCTAATAGACTACGTGGTGCAACATCCCAGAAGACTCTCATCTTCATACTCACCACTGTAAGAACTTTAAACCTCACCTTGTGTGTGTTTGTATGTTCCAGACTGAACATGAAACTTATGTAAACTACCTGCATAGAAATTATGAGTAGTAAAGGAAGATCGTTCATTTATTTAATGTATATGTATACAGAACTAAAATCCTCATAACTGAATATCTGCATGACATTATATACACTTGGTTCTTCATGATTCTCAGCGAATTCCAGTTACTATGTGGATGTGAAATAATTTTGTAAATATTCAGGGCATATAGATACAGTGGGGCAAGGGCAAAAAAATTATAAATATATGCACATAGTTTATGAACAACATTACTGAATGTTAATACTATAAAAAATATAATTGTGTACACATTGTTCTTAACAGACCACAGGCACCATCTCCACTGTTTGAATGCCTTCCTTTTTCCAAAATTAATTAAATAATCTTTTAGATGGTATTGTTGTTGTTCTACATTGTAATGCTTGTGGACTTCTAGGTAGATACTAACATTTTAGAGGAGCAGAGTTTCTGTCTTCAGCCCTGAAGATGGAGAGAGTATATTTCTTCAAAATGTTGGTATCTACCAACAAGTTCACACAGTGTTACAACAAAGAAAAACAAAATTGTTAACAAGTTTTTAGGTATTTTGAGTCTTAATTAAACTATTTAGCTGCATCGAAATATGCCCATGTCTTTCTTACACTTACATCAAGGTAAATTAGATGAAGCCAAAAGGTCTGATATTAGAGGTCCGTGACAGATTTTTCTTTCACTGACATACTTGTCATTTTAGGTTGACAAGGTGAAGAAACCGGGCATCAAAGTGCCTGAGATCAAGGCACCTGAAATCAAGGCCCCAGAAGCTCCCAAGATTGAGGTGAGCCGTGAGAAGTCGCCTGTTGCAGATACTCGAAAGGGATCACTTGCTCCAGGCTCTGGACCCTCAAGTCGAAGGGGTTCTCTTATTCCTCCAGAGGAACAGCAGAGACGACCTAGCCTCATTATCAGTGACGAGGTAATGTATTTATTAAATTATATTGTGTGCTTTTTCAGTTCAAAGAAAAGTATTTGCTCAGTAGACTTGTCATCTTGGACCTAATAATATAATTAACATAATACTACACTGCTATAAATGGTAAACATTTCCACCTTTAATACTGCTTTTACTATGTCACTTTTGTGATACAGAAAATTATCTTTTTAAGAAGTGTTCTAAAACTGAGAGTGATGTCACGTGTGAGACATGATGAAAATTTAATATACACTTTCTTTGACCAAGCAGATAATCTGATTAAGAATTTTTATAATACAAGAGCTTAATTTCAACATATTGAGCAGACTTCAGGGCTTTCATAAAGAATGCCTGTCTTTTAAAATTCCTTGAAGTTGAATTCCCCCAGAATTCATAGTTATTATGTTCAGCTCTGTTATTTAAAACATACACTAGTTATTCCATATCTTATCTCCTAGTCTATGAAATATGAAGTTACATTTTATAATTTAAATGTCTTCTCATATTTAATGAAGTATTAGAAATTGCAGTTGTATAAGAAGAACATAGAAATATGGGATCTTCGCTAATGGGTTTTAATGTTTCTTTGATTACAGTGCTTTTTGCTTGGGCTTTTAAATAATTAGAACTAAAGAAATATATATGCAGATGTTTACCAAAGTCTGCTTGAAAGGTTTTGAATTTCACCTGAACATAACTGAAGTAGTTATTGGTACAAAATATTGCATTGTTTACCATTTACATTATTGAGGATGCCAGATTCACAGTTTTTATACCTATGTGATGCAAATTCACTACATGCAAATCCTATTTAAATTTCAGACATTGGGGAATTAGTAACTAGTTCCCCC